ATGACTTTCTAAAGTCACAAAAGAAGGGTAGCTCTAAGAAAGTACTCTGAAAGAATGGAGTGCCATACTTCAGGATAAGGTATGACTTATTAAATCAGAGACCTCTATGGTGCCGTGTCCTCAGTAGGAAGGATGAGGGCCTAACAGTTGGAGGCAGGAATGGTTCTAATGACCCACCGGGGGATTTTGTGCTTTCTTTCCTTCCAGTTCCGGGCTCGGCATGTGGAGGTCCTATTCCCCAATGGGAACAACTTCTCAGGGACATAAGGCTTTACCTTCCTGTATAAGCTACAGTTTGACATATTATAAAATTTTCTGGGGAAACATTCACCCCTCCCTCGCCCTGCCCAGGTATAGCAGGCAAGAGAGCAAAACCATCTTCATACTTAAAGTGTGACCAGGTTCCATGCTGTAGCTTATGCAGGTCTGTAGCACCCTGTAGTTTATACAGGAAGGTAAAGCAAATCTTTTCATACCCACTGATGACCAAGGAGCCAGATTAAGATTTGTCTGACTCCAACCTCTGCATCTCTGTAGTGCATTCTTTAGATAAGAAGAGATTAAAATCCTGCATTGCTTTTCTCTAGCATCAACATATCTTTAGGTCTGAACAACATAGAACTAGAAACCCATCAAGAATTAAAACTAGATATTCCTATCAAGAATCTTGATGTCAATGACTCACTGTTCCAACCTGTATAAACTTATATTTATTGAAACAGCTCTCACAGAGTAAAAATCTGCTAGATTGCGTTCCCAGGTTCGAATCCTTTATCTAATAAAGTCTTGATCTGATTATCATTGAGATTCAGTCCCTTTTCCCACAGCAGGGTACTTATTATGAAAATCCAACAGGAAGTCAGTGAGGCTCCCTCCCTGATCTGTTAGCTGACTGTGCTGGTCTTGGACATAGGTTTGGTCAATTGGACCTACCCACTGAGAATTTGAATTCTCACTTTTTGTGTCTCTCTAGAGTCATTTGTGAAGGCAGTGGGTATATTCTGGGGGTGGTTAGGCTGTTCCCTGTTAAAAGAGAGTGTTGTGCTTTTTGCTTTTTGATTCTGCAGAACTGGCTTGATTCCTTGCTACTTTTTCTTTCTTTCTTTTTTTTTTTAGATTTAAGTATTTATTTATACAAGCACTGGGTACAGTCAGAAGCGTGGGAGGGTGAGAGAATTCACCAGAGCCAGAGCAGAAAGCAGAACAGGCAGACTGATGAAGTACACTGCTGAGGGGAGCAGCGGGCGGCAGGAGAGGTCTGCGCACCATGTGGAACCCTCGCCCGTTGGCCGGGGATCGAACTGGCGCTGTAGAGGTTGCGGGCAGCTTCGCAACCCAGCACTCAACCGCTGCGCCACTGGGGAGGCCCTCCTTGCTACTTTTTCTGCCATTATTACCCCATCATTTCGATGTTTCTGTGAATCCGTGAAAGCCTTTCATATCCCTTTTCTACTTAAGATGGTGTCTTGCTTGCAACCAAGAATGCTGATTATGCATGTAGCCTGGTTGCAGTTTCAGTTTTTATTTGATGTAGCCTGGTTGCAGTTTTAGTTATTATTTGATATGCAGGATGACTATGAGGAAAATAACACATATGGAGGATGTTGGGGTTGCCTTTTTAAACCAGGCCCAATACATAGTCCCTATGCTCTGTTCATTTATCCCCTCACACCCCCAATTCTGAGATTGCCTCTTGGTCTGGCAGGATGAACACCATGTGTGCTGCAATGTCCCTGTAGTAGGGACATACTAGGTATTCACCCCAGCTCTTCTGTGACTCCATGGTGCTCCCCAATAGGTTGGTGGCACTTTGGCTGGGCTGTTTACTCACTTAGATTTGGTTTTCTAAGGGTCAGGGTGGTAGTGAGCCTTTTCTCTAGCTACTCGGGGAAGAATTTGCAAGCTGGAAGGGATGAGTGGAACTTGCTAGGCAGGAAAAGCAGAGAGAACTGACCATTAAACCAGCATTCCTATAGGACCAGCCTTTTTGCCGTCTCTTCCTCTTGCACTGTCCTTTGCCTTTTCTCCAGAGGGTCCTATTCTGTTTATTTTTCTATTCTTCTCCTTCCTGATGTCAGTTCTGTTCACATGCTTGTGCATCTTCCCAAGCCCTGTCAGTTTGCTTTTCTTTCTCTTGGGTGCTTATGAATTGGGCTATGTTTCTCTTATTGCCAGCCCCTCCTATCACTGCCTCTTCCCCCTCTTTAAAAATACTTCGTTTCCCATTTTCCCAAGTGCATTTTTCACTATTTTGCAAACTCCACATAGGTAGGAACCAAGTCTGATTTTTTCAACACTATCTGACCAGATAGCAAGCACAGAGCCTACTTGACACAGTAGGCAGGGATTCAGGGAATATCAGTCAGATGAAAGAATGACTACATGAGTGAGTGAGTGAGTGAGCTCTCAGCCCCCTTCCTGGCTGTCTGATGTTTTTCCTGTGCTTCTTCCAGGAAGACTTTGGTGAGATAATAGAAGGAATATATGCAGAAGATGTCAGGATCTGCTTCAGACACATTTCTTTTTTTTTTTTTAATAAATTTATTTTTATATTCCCCATACAGTTGCACCCCCCTTATTTTGACCCAATCCCTCTCCTCCCCGCCCCCCACCCACCACAGAGTGTCTCTAATTCATAGTTTTTTGTTGATTTTGATTTTCACTTTCTTATAGTTATTCATTTTCCTGGTCCCTTATTTAAATTCTCTAGATTCCTGCTATGAGTGAGACCATCCGGTATTTTTCTTTTTCTTTCTGGCTTATTTCGCTGAGCATGATCCCTTCCAGTGCCATCCATGTTGCTGCAAATGGCATGTGTTTATCTTTTTTGAATGCTGAGTAATATTCCATGGTGTATATGTACCACATCTTCTTGATCCAGTCATCTATTTTTGGGCATTTGGGTTGTTTCCAAAGCTTAGCTATTGTAAACAGTGCTGCTATAAACATAGGGGTGCAGGTGTTCTTTGGAATTGATGTTTCTGTGTCCTTTGGGTAAATACCTAGGAGTGGAATTGCTGGATCATATGGAAGCTCTATGTTTAGTAGGTCCAGAAATCTCCACACAGCTCTCCATAGTGGTTGGACCAGTTTGCACTCCCACCAACAGTGCAGGAGAGTTCCTTTTTCTCCACAACCTCGCCAACATTTGTCGTTGCTAGTTTTTTTAATATGTGCCATTCTCACTGGTGTGAGATGGTATCTCATGGTAGTTTTGATTTGCATTTCCCTGATGACAAGTGATGTTGAACATTTTTTCATATGCCTGTTGGCCATTTGCATTTCCTCTTCAGAGAAGTTTCTTTTTAGCTCTTCTGCCCATTTTTGGACAGGATTATTTTCTTTGTTGTTGTTGAGTCTCATCAGCTCTTTGCAGATTTTTGTGATCAGTCCTTTATCATTAGTGTTGTGTGCAAAAATGTTCTCCCAGTCAGTGGGGTGTCTCTTTCTTTTTGTTATTGTCTCTTTTGCTGTGCAGAAGCTCTTTAATTTGATGTAGTCCCAGCTGTTGATCTTTGCCTTCACTATCACTGCTTTGGGTGATGCAGACACATTTCTTAACTCAGAATTTGACTCCATACCCACCAACCTCAAACTGCCCAGCAAGCAGCACCTCTCTTGTGGTTCTTTCCCAATGATATCCTTTCTGGCTAAACCAGAGCTGCTGAACTGGGATGGGAGAGCAGTGGAGTTTGGAGGTGGGGTGAGGTATTTTGGAAATAAAGAGGGAGCATTTTATTTGTCAAGATGATTGGTTTTATTGGCATTTAGGAGGTCTGTGTGGACAGTGCCATAGAGCAATCAACTGTCCTGAATTCTACATGATTCTGTGTCCCTTCCCTTACCTCAACACTCAAGTTAAGAAAAAAAAAAACACCCCACATTTTTGGGCTAAAATAAATTATGTTCTACCTCAGATAATTACAAATACGCATTTTTGCATGTTTTTAATATACTGAAATTTCCAGGAATGCATCCATTGGAAAAATTAATTAGACTACACTTATCGAGAAATTCTTTAACTAGTGTTGTTCACCGTTTCACAAAATCCTGTCACAGAAACATTACTGTTCATTTGTCCCCTGGAATTGGGGTATGGAACTGGGTTACCAAAATATCTATACAGAGCCTGTGTTTGTAGCTGCGATAGTGATTTTTACCATGGATGCAGCCAGTTCCTCCGAAGAAAGAAAACGTCTGCAACAGAAAATTCAGAAAAGTTACTCAAAATTTACCAAAAACAAACAAACAAACAAACAAACAAACAAAAAAAAAAACAAACAAAGCAAAAGCAACCGCAACGTAAATACACTTTGAAGGGATTTTGTGGGTGAAACTTCCCAACGCACATCTGAAGTTACGACGCCTTAAACTCGCAACAACAACATTTTTGGGGCGCCCAGTATCTAAGAAAGACGCTGCGAGGCCCTACAGGGTGGACAACCACTCATCCCCACTTTGCACCCACCTGGCAAAGAAATGCCAGCTGCAAACGTCCAGCCGTGGAAGTGGAGGCCAGAGGCAGGCGCCTGCGGGGAGAGCCGCTGCGGGGAGAGCCCGGCTGCCGCGCGGTGGGCCGCGGGGCCGCGGTCAGCCTGGGCAGCCTCGGGAACCCCGCGGGGAGCACAGACGCGCTGCGCCCCGACGAGCGCAGGCTGCACAGGCTCCTGCCAGCCCCGCCTTCGCCCTCGCCCCTCCCAGCGCAGCCGGGCGGTTGGCCCCGCCGGGAGGGGGTGGGCGCGGCTTGACAGGTGGCCGCGGTGTCCTGCGCCGCCGCGCGCGGGGGCGCGGCTCAGCCCTTCGGGGTGCGCCGGAGGCGGGGCCGTTCCCGGGCCGCCAGCTGCGTCGCTGCGTGCGCTCCAAGCTCCGGCACCCTGCGCCCAGTTCGGCACCGCGGCCGCCGTTGGACCTTCCCTGACCTTCTTGGGGAGCCGCGCTCACCCCGCCTCCAGCTTCCGTCCAGGGGGGGCGGCCGGGCGGGGCGGGCCCGGCGCGAGCCAGGGCAGGAGCGGCAACTCCACGGCGCGGACGCGGTGGCCAGAGGTTCAACTCGCACCGGGTAGGAGGCGCCCCACTGCGGCTCGCGGAGGCGGGGGGCTTTGGCCGTGGGGGCCGGGCGGAGAGAGCGCTTCCCCCGGGGCTGGCGGTGGGCCCCGAGCTTGCGCCGCGGGGTCCCGCGGACCTCACACTCGCCTCCCACCCAGACGCGGCGCCTCTTGGCCTCGCTTCGAACCTGGTCTTGGAACTCTTGCTTCCTTCTTGGAGTGGGGGGCCTCGGGGGTCGCGGGGAGCCCACCTGTGAGGGGCGGCTAAAGAACCAAGTGTCCGCATCTTGCTGTGTGGGAATTTCTCGGTGTCTTAAGTGTGGGGGAGTTTCTGGCGCCTCTCACTTATTCAGCCTGTCACTGCGCACCGTCCCTGGGCGCTAGTGGGTGCCCAGCTTTGGGGGGGGGGGGGCAAAGGTTGATGTCTGCCCGCGGCGGGGACACGGTTATCTACTGACTCTGCGCGTGGGAGGAAGGGGCGCTCGAGGGGGCTGTGGGAGCTGGAAGCAGCAGAGCAGAACCTTAGGGCACGAGCCAACCAGGAATTGGTCGAAAGGGTGCTCTGGTGGAATTGAGGGGCTCCTTCCCCCCCCTCTTCATTTTCCTTTTAATTATAAAAGTCACAACCTTAGCTTCTTGCTCAAAGACCCAGTGCCTGCATTGCACATTGCTCCAGTGTGGGGTTCTGACTCACTTTCGGTCCATGTACCCCTTGAATAGTTCTGGGAAGACTAAGGACCTTGCTTAGAACAATGCTTTTAAAGATATGAAATAAAAGGCAGAATATTGAAAAGAAACCAATTCCAGAATACTTATCAAACTATGAAAAGAATTTATGATGTAGCCGTCTGCGTGCCTTTAAAAAAACAAATACATAAAAAAACAAGATCTGACAGTGGGTCTAATGGCTACCATAATTTTGAAGAAGCTAAGCAGAAAAAATATTTCAAGGTATAGGCAACACCTGTAGTATAAGAAATATCTGTGTAATATAAGAAAATATCTGTGATTTCTATTGGTGACAGTCAGAGGTACTGCTAATACTGCAGCTGTTTGTGGCCTATCTAAATAATTGAAGGAAATGTTAAATTTCAATGAGAAGTTAGTAAAAATAAAGAAGCCAAAGGTTTTTTTTGGGGGGTCCAAGTTCATGGTTAAGATACCAGTAGTGGGATGGGCACTGCTCAGGAGGTCAGGTGACACAGCTCTGGTTTTCCTACTTCCATTGACAGCAACATGACTTTGGCTTTTGAACTTCTTTGTGTCTTAGCTTCTTCAGTGTACAGTGGAGATAATTGTACCTTCCCATGCATTTAAGGTGCCCAGCACTGCTCTTGGCGCAGAGGGGTGATATAAGTACCATTTCTAGAACTTGCTTTCCCTTGCTGGACTTGTCGCCATCATCAGTGTATCCCCAGTCCTGGGCATGCCAGTCCTGGTCTGTTGAATCCATGACAGGTACTCAGTACAAAGTTCTTAAATGAATAAGTGGATTTGAAAGGGTTGCTTTTGACTACATCTAAAAAACAAAACATAACAAAACAAAAAACAGCAGAATTAATTGAGGAGATCGCTGGTGTTTAGAGAAATGACTTTAAAATTTGGGCTTTTTTTTTTTTTTTCTTCTGGCTGAACAAATACATAAACCGCTCTGGAGCTGGAGTGCTTGAAAACACAGGCCTGTAAGTCTGTCTGTGGGGTGTCTGTCTTGTGGCTGGTGTTCTGCCAGAGAAAATGAATTTGAGTGTTGATAGGAAACCAGAATTCCTTTTAGAACATTTCACAGTTTCTCCATCTTGCCTGTGTCTAAATGTGTTAATCCTGTGTGTTGTAACAGGAAATGTTTTATAGAGAATGAAGACAGGTCCTTGAGGACGCATTTCTGGGCATGGATGCACAATTCTCTTTCCTCTTTTCTTTCACCTTTCCCTGCTCCAACACCCACTACCTAACTCCTGTTTGACCCTGGAGATTTGGTAAATAGGAGCAGTGGGGACAAGTTGCTAGAAGCTGCCCAGACTAGACCTGAAGTAAACTAGTCGCTTCTTAATTTTCACTCTTAAAAATCTATGTAAACCTAACAAACAAAGGTTTGAAAGAAGGAACGTGGGTACAGTTAACCATTCTTGTGATTTACTTTGTGAAAGTGCTAAATTGGGCAGGTAAGGGGCCCCTCAAAGACCTTGATCTTGTACTTCCAGCCTCCAGAAATTAAGAAAACAAACTTCTGTTGTGGAAGCGACCCAGTCTGTGGTACTCTAGCAAATGAATACAGATGAATGTTCTCTATTTTAAGCCATGATCCTGACATGATTTGTTCTTCCTTCTCCTCACTGGAGAATCTTGTATTCTCTTTGTCTGGATACTCTATGGTGCCTCAGTTTCTTTCTGTTGGAGATCATCAAGGCCTTATTCACCTTCGTGATAATTGTCAGAAGTAGAACTTAGAGTCTTCAACAAATGACCAGGCTACTTGCTGTGCTTTGTACATAGTGTATACTTATAAATACATGGTGGGTGATGACATGATGGTGTTGATGATCGACCTTATGGGCCGTTCCTTTCTAATCATAATGTATTTCTGAGTTTTGACCTTGACCCAGACCTCAGGGAACTTTCTTTCTATCTCTGGGGAGCGGCATTTCTAGCCCTGTCAATAGTAGCGGAGAAGAAGTAGCTGTGTCTTTATCCGTGGAGTAATCCCTGACTCTGGAATCCCTGACTGTGCGGGGGTAGAAGGGGGGGGGACCGAGGTGATTTTACTCTGAAATTTTCTTGTTTCCTTGGCAATTTGCTCTCACACAGCCTAAGATGTCTCCTTAGGGAAATAATGAGCTTTAACAACCACTTTGTTCACATATGCTTGTGAGTGCTCCCCAAGGAAGTGGTGGGTCTGGTAAATGTGGTTTTGTGTTTTAGTGAGCTGATGAATGGTGCTTGGGGTGGGTGAGGGGCCATCCGGCTTTCTAGCCAGCTGGCTTTGTATGATAATGGTGAGCCTTTGGAGATCTGGGTGATGGAATTTGAAGTTGTTTAGAGTAGGAGTGGCTTTTAAAGTCAACTAGATCACATCCACTTATTTTGTACTCATGGAAATGATCTCAAGGCGTTCAAGTGACTTGCCCTTGGCTCTTCGCTTATAAAATGGGGCTAATACTGCTCCACTCTCAGATTGTTGTGAGAAATTATGACAAGTGCCCAGTACAATGCCTGGCACTTAGTGAACCTTCAGCAATTTTTTTTTTGTGATGGTTTTATTGTGCCTGGGAGAGCCCACTGTTCCATTGCAGCTGCCCAGTGAATCGTGGGCAGTAATGGTCTATGTGTGGGAATTGGCGGCGGAGAAAGGGAGATATGGTTTCTGTTCTGATTCTATTCCAGTCATGGTTATAAATCTTTTTGCTGCTACAATTCACAACTTTGATCAACCTGAGGAATTAATAGACCAAGTATTTCCATTTGACTGCCTGCGTGTGAACCTCCATTGCCCTTTCCCCTCATTTAGAAGATCAGAGAGCTTTAGAAAAGGAAGGACCCTTTGAAGCTACCCAGTCCGGTCCTATATTCCACTGATAACCCAGAATGACTAAGGACTGACTGACTAAGGACTGAAATGTGGACCTTGGTCTCCAGACCCCAATATGCCCTCAGACAAGGTTCAGCAGGAACGGGGGACTGTGTCCTTTAGACAGACACAGGAAAGACATGAGCTTAGGTGACTTGGCACACCTGCTGCCTTTCCTACCCCACATTCTGTCCTACCACGAAAGGATTGAGTTTGGCGTCCCTTCAATCACGTTTAAACAACAGATGAATAACTTGTAATTAGAGTCTGTTCTCATTGTGTTAAAATCTCGCGTACTGGATTCCAGGGAACAATATGCCTGACTAATTGGCCAGTTCATGTTTATAATGAAATGTCACCCTTCAGAGTCTTCTTGCAGCTGAGGTTCTGAGGAACCCCACTGCTCCTGAGGCTCATGAGTACTTTTATTGTGATCACTTGACAGATTCAGGAGACGGCCACCAGCTGATCCTTGCTCTATGATGGGGAGTGAATTCATCCCCATCAGACTCCCCCTTCCTGTGTCAGTGTGTTTGGAAGCCTGGGGATAGGCACACACAAGCGTATGCAGACATGAAAGGAAGCCTGCATTGTACTTGACTAGAGGCCAACTGTAAAAGATGGAGTTGACCAGGAGCAAAGTTGTGATTATTGATACACTAGAACATGAGCGGTTAAGCTCCCATTGGCCAAAGCAAGCAGAAAAACAAGGCATCTCCCCCTGCATAATTCAATCAAACCTTTAACTTTCAGTTGAAATCCTCCAGTTGACTCATCTCTTTTTTACTTTTCGGAGCCAGAATGCTGTTGTTTTCTTTTTGTAAATAAATTTTAGTTTCAGTTTATGGTTTGGTAACATACCAAACATTTGGTCAGTACCTCCCCAAATATATTGCTGATTATCCAAAGAATACAGGCTGGGGAAACCTGTATGAAATGTCTCAGCAGCACAGGGAACCCTCTTACTGCCAAGTCCTCGTCAGTGACTGAATCTGTAATTCTGTAAAGGAAATTCCTATAGTTGGCCTTGAAAAGAGTTAGGATAAAAGAAATCCAGTGTGCCTCTAACCCCTGAATCATCAGGGAGTAGTGCAAACCTTTTTGTTTCCTGGATGACTTGTTCCTGGTCAGCAACCAGAGCTTTTGTTTAAACAAATATCTGAACTTACCTTAAACAGCTTTGGAAGGTAGAGTTCTAACATGGCCCCACAGGCCTAAATGAATATTGCTTCATTTGTTAACAATATAGTAATCCAGTTGCTGAACACAGAAGCGATGATACGGCTGCCATTACTCAAGAGGATGTGTGCCAAGAGGAAGCATACCGGCTGCACAAACCCTTTGAACAACACCACTCCTTCCATTTTCAAGTTACTGAGTGGGGCATGGGGTGGGGGGTTGTTGTTGTTGTTGATGTTTTACTGCACTTGAGAGACCCAATACAGTTCC